TGCAGCCATCATTGTTGTTTGGCGGGCCTGGGCTGGATTCGAACCTGCCACCTTAGGTGTATGTGGCTGGCGCCTTAGCCACTTGAGCCACAGGCACTGAGCCAGTATTTTTCATGATGTAAAATGAAACCAAATCAAGTTGAAGAATACCATTTATCTTTTATATATCTTAACATATTCTAATTTTAATTAAAGCCTAAAATGCTTATTTCTTATGTTTAGTAAGAATAAATATATCTAATTATTTATAATAAAAAACTAGATATTTTTATTTTTGACTCCTAAATGCCTAAAATATAATTCTATATATATCCTTGCCCTGGTGAAATATAGCTGTTTTAAAATTTTTAATTACTACTTACTACTATATGTAGTAATATTATATATATTATTACTTACTATGTACAATATTATGAGTAGTAATATTACTACTTACTACTATATTATTATACTATATCATATTAATCTTTAGGAATCAAAATTATTTTAGAAAATAATGACTAGAAGCAGTCCATTGGTCATCTGAACTTAAGACCTCAAAAAGAGGGCGGCACCTGTAGCTCAAAGGAGTACCCATATTCTGGAGGCCCCATATTCTGGAGGTGGGGGGTTCAAACCTGGCCCCCCACCAAAAACTGCAAAAAAAAGAAAAGACCTTAAAAAGTGTTAATTTAATATCTGGGTCTGTTGTTGCAGGGGTAGTGAAGTATGTTTCCAAAATGCTAATAGAAAAAGGTATAGTAGAAACTCCACAGCTAACTACCTCCTTAAGAGTGAGGAGTTGACCTAATTCTCATCAACCAGACATGAACCATATCAGTACAGCATGCCTAATTCCTTATGTTGACCAAATTGTAACACTCCCATGTGTGGGAGGGTCAACTTACAGAGGTTCTACTGTAACTAAATTCTCTCACACTATACTCTGAAACTTAGGCTACTAGAGTTTTTGCATCAAAAAAGGTAATACTTTTACTTAAATCATCAAAAATATTTATAACCCTTTTTATCAGTCATTAAATTAAAGGAAATAAAATAAACTTTCATTTCTCTTGCTATAACTTTTGAAGAGGCCAGCTGCATTTCACAAACTGAATTGTTGAAACCAGATTAGCAACTGCTACAATTCTAAGAATAACTAAAATTTTTAGTACTTTATTAGTTCATTCTTTTTTTTTTTTTTGTCGTTTTTGGCCGGGGTTAGGTTTGAACCAGCCACCTCTGGCATATGGGGCCAGTGCTCTATTCCTTTGAGCCATAGGCACCGCCCTATTAGTTCATTGTGAAAGTATCACATTATTAATGTGAACAACCAACACAGAAATCCTCGCATGTCTGACAGCATGCTGTAGAACACATGTAAATATGTGGAAGAGCTTTTTTGAAAGTGTAAAATTGTGCAAATGTAAGAAGTGTGACAAACGTAAAAACTTGACTTACTTGGCTCTGAGGTACTTCGTGATCAGCCCCCCAGTACAATGTCATTCCAAGAGAATAAATATGGATCTATAGACAGAATTTTTAAAAATCATTTTATGGTAAAATAAAATAAAAAATTTAGTATGTATTATAAATTCAGAATTTTTGTTCCAAAGAAAATATAACACACTATATGAGAAATTCATCATTCTATATTTTGCATAAAAGTGTAGAGCTTAAAATAGAAAATAAGAGCATGAAAATTATTAGAATAGATTTTTTCCTAATTCCTCAGCTCATCCTATTTTTTTAATTTCAGGTTGTAGGCGTACAAACAGTTAGATTCCATAGTTGCCATTTGTATAGTTAAAGTCCAGTTCATAGGTGTGTCCTACACCAGGTAGTGTGCTACGTATCTGAGCAATGTATCTGTTGGGTGGGAATTTGCCCAACCCTTTCCTCATTTCTCCTCTCCTGTCCTGCTTGAATTTCATTGAGCTTTTCTCTCATGTAGACATCAACTTACTAGTTCCAATTTAGCAATGGGTAAATGTGATGTTTTTTTTCCATTCCTGTAATACTTCACTTAGGTGAATGGTCTCCAGTTCTATCTAGGTTACTGCAAAAGATACATAATCTCCATCTTTATTATGGCTGAATAATATTCCATGGCATTCTCAGCCCAACCTTCATGAGTATCATTTTTAAGCCTTTATTTAAAGTTTCTTTATGCAAATTCAAGTAAATATGAATATATATTCTTATCGCCCTTCTTTTATAAAAGGGTAGAAACTATAAATCACTACGTGCTTTGTATTTTTATCAACAGAGATATTTCCATATACGTGCTTAAAGATCTTATCTTTATTAAACTGCTGCATAAAATTCCATTATATGGTTGCAGCATTGTTTTTTTTTTAAGCCAATCTGTTATTAATATTCAATTAAGATTTTTTCAAACTTTAGTTATTATAAATAATGTTTCAACAAACAACCTTGTGATAAGTCTTTTTGTACATACAAATATTTCTCTTGAGCGAATTCTCAGAGATTATCAATGAAAGGATAAATCATCTATAATTTTGATACATATTATCAGATTCCCCTATATAGAATTTGTACCATTTTGCATTTCTACCAGCAACATGTAAGAATTTTTCCACAAGCCTTGTTCATAGAATGAGTTATGAAGGTTTGGGGTTTTGCCAATCTGAAAAGAGAGACTAAAATTCATTGCAGTTTTGATTAGCATTTTTCTCACTACAAATAGGTAGCATAGCACAGTGATAAGAGGCTGCATCAGAGGATTTTCCTTTTGCGGTGTTTGCTGGGGAGGAGGACAACATATGTTTATGTTCATAGGAAGGATCCAACAGGGAAACCTGGCAATGGGGGAAAGAATGTAGATTTCTGGAGCAACACTGTTGAGTGGGCAGGAGGAGATGGAAGCTAACGCACAGATGGAGTAGTTGACTTTACAAAGAAGCACAGATAGTTAAAGCAAGGACTAAGAAGTAAGGAGGCAGAGAAGGTGGGAATTTATGAGGGGAAGGTGGTGAAAGTATCTTGGGAAAAAGTCTCTCCTGACTGTTTTTACTTTTTCTCTGTGAGACAAGAGGCAAGATTATATAATCATCTTTCCTTTTTCCTTCTGTGAAGAGACTCAGAGCTAAACTTTTAGCCCATCTCTATCAATACTGAATTCTTATCATGTGGGTTTTTTTGCACCAACTTTCCTCTGATTTCATCTTATGTGCTTGCCTTTATTTCACTCTGCTCCTATTTTTCTTTTCTATTTTTAAATTCTATACACTGTTTCAAATCTTCCGTAAAAATCAGTGAGACATATGAGTAAAACTGGGTACCCTTCTTATAATCTCACAGCACTTTAATTTACTCTTTAGTTTCCTAAATTATAAAAGTTATTCCACTTTCCAATTATTTTCATGACTCTTAATTTTTAAACATTTAATTTTTTTATAATGACATTCAAGGGTTACTCTGATCTGCTTCCACTTCCACTTTGCAAGGAGATTTTCAAGTTTCCTTTCTGTCATCACTCCTTCCTTATCATAATTGAAACACTTCAGGACTACTAGATAAGTTCCTATTGGCAAAACACATCCTTCTGCTTCTCAACTTTTCTTGAGCTGTTCTTTCCACTGATATTTTTTCTCCATCTGTGTCAATGAAAGTCTACCCATCATTGATAAGCCAGAGATGATGTTTTCCATTATTATGCCATAAAATACTTTCAAACAGGATAAAACATCTGTATTTATAATAAAGCAATTAACTAATATTACTTCATTACATAGTTAGGTGAGTGCTTGTTTGTTTTCCTTGAAGGAAAGAGTTTTTTAAAAAACATTTTACTGTCCCTCTTAGCTACTAAAATTTGTGTGAAGTTCAAGATACCATAGTGCAGACTATGAGTATCACATTTCTCTTTAGACTTCTTTTCAAAGAACCTTGTAAACACCTTTTCAAAGAGCCTCAAGTGAGGCTGGGCACGGTGGCTCACGCCTGTAATCCTAATACTCTGGGAGGCCAAGACAGGTGGACTGCCTAAGCTCATAGGTTTGAGACCAGCCTGAGCAAAAGCAAGACCCCGTCTCTAAAAATAGCTGGGCACTATGGCAGGTGCCTATAGTCTTAGCTACTTGGTAGGCTGAGGCAAGAGAATCGCTTGAGCCCAAGAGTTTGAGGTTGCTGTGAGTTATGACACCACAGCACTCTACTGAAGGCAACAAAGTAAGACTCTGTCTCAAAAAAGAAAAAAATAGCCTCATAAAAAAAATTTTTTTTTGCTTTAGCATAAAGGATGAACTGCATTCTCAGTCATATTAATTTTGATTTGTGATATGGCCAGAACATTAAGATTCTTTATTATATGTACTTTGCAATATGCCAAATGAGTTGCTATATGTTAATAATTTATATATAACTATATAAAAATAAAATAATTTTTATTTTTATTTTTATTTGTTTATTTACTTATTTATTTGGAGATAGAGTCTTACTATGTCCCTCTCAGTAGAGTGCTGTGGTATCACAGCTCACAGCAACCTCAAACTCTTGGGTTTAAGCAATTCTCTTGCTTCAGCCTCCCAAGTAGCTGGGACTACAGGCACCTATCAACAATGCCTGGCTAATAAAATAATTTTTAAAGCTAACTTATATAATTGTACACTTGCCGATCAACTGTATATACAGTGTAATGGTTAGTTGCATCAACTCCACTGGAACAGATATTTAGCCAAACATTCCAGGTTTTTCTATGACAGTATTTTTGGATAAGATTAACATTTAAATCAGTAGACTGAGTAAAGCAGAATGCCCTCCTAATGTGGATGGGCCCCTTCCAATCAGTTGAAGGGCTGAAAAGAACAAAAAGGCTTACTCTCCCCTGAGTAAGAGAGAATTCTTTTTGCCTGCCTTTGAGCTGGGATATTAGCCTTTTCCTCCTTTGAACTCAAATTAAATCCTTCCTTGGATTCAAGCCTGCCAGTCTTTGGACTAGAGCTAAATCATCAGTCCAGGAGGCTCTTTGGTTTTCAGACTTGGACTGGAACTACACCATCAGCTCTCCTGAGTCTCTGGCTTTGCAAACGTGCCCTAAAGTTCTTGGAACTTGTCACCCTACATAATTATATGAGCCAATAGGACTACCCACCCTGACCCTCTCAGTTATGGCAAACAAAACTGTCTTCAAACATTGCCAGATTTTCCATAGGAGGTAAAACTGCCTCTAGTTGAAAACTACTACTTTAATCTGTATAATCTTTCCCAGAATTACAAGTCTAAAAGGAGAGATACATGAATGTTTATGTATGTACCTAGAAATGGTAAATTTATGCTAAGGAAATTGAAGACAAGAAAAGATTACTTTGATTATAGAAGATTCAGAAGAAACTTAAAACGGAGTTAAGCTGAGACCTAAAACATAAATTATCTCTCTCTCTCTGCTCTCTGAATATTCTGCAGAGATCTACTACTATTGTGTATATTCCCTATATTATAATCATCACCATTATTTCCTTTTTGTCTGACTCTCCATCAGCCTCCTAGTCCTTTAACAGTAAGGACTACTTATTCATTTTAGTACCTCTATGGCAGGCATCCTCAAACTACGGCCCACGGGCCACATGCAGCCTGCCTAGGACATTAATCTGGCCAGCTGGGTGTTTTTGCCACTGCTGCCTGTCCTGCTTAGCAGCCAACTTGTCCCAGAGCCTGCAGTCTGGCCCTCTAACGGTCTGAGAGACAGTGAACTGGCCCCCTGTTTAAAAAGTTTGAGGACCCCTGCTCTATGGCCTTTTATGAGGGCATATGATAGCTCCTCAACTGATGCTCACTGAAAGAATGGATGGTACGTGGGACATGGACATGTGAAAATGAGGGGAAAAAGCATTACTATGCAAAAGAGTGAAGCCCCAAAGCACAGACCTGTCTAATAATCAATGGTACAGCCTATGTATCTGAAAAAAATTATAAATCAGAAGGCAGATGGGACCAGAACTTCTCACATTTGGTTAAGGAATCTGCACTTCATTGGGCTAAAAAAAAAAAGAGAGAGAGAGAGAGGGCGGTGCCTGTGGCTCACTGAGTAGGGTGCCGGCCCTATATACCGAGGGTGGTGGGTTCAAACCCAGCCCCGGCCAAACTGCAACAAAAAAATAGCTGGGTGTTGTGGCGGGCGCCTGTAGTCCCAGCTAATGGGGAGGCTGAGGCAAGAGAATTGCCTAAGCTCAGGAGTTGGAGGTTACTGTGAGCAGTGTGACGCCATGGCACTCTACTGAGGGTGACAAAATGAGACTGTCTCTACAAAAAAAAAAAAAAAAAGAGAGAGCGAGAGCGAGAGAGTGAGTGCAATTTAAAGAATGTTTTTAGGAGAAAAGTAACATGATAAAGGGAATTAATTTGAGAGTATTAGGAAGAAGAATCAAGAAGAAATTGGGGTTAAAAGATTATGACAAAAGTGTAGGAAAAGAGAAATCGAGGCCTAATGAGAGCCCTGGAAATAAGGTTGAAGAGGAAGGGAACAGAATGGCTGACTTAAGAAATGAAGGACAAATTTAGGCAATTAAGTGTATATATGAAAAAGGAAGAATCAGTGATGAAAACACAAAGAAAATGTGACATAGAAAGAAGAGAGTTGAGGAAGTTCATCAATATAACAAATATTTTTGTTATAACATACTGGAATGTAAACTCCATGTACAGAGGAGCTTTGCCCCATTTACCTCTCTATTCCTTGACCTAGGGGAGCATTTGACATATAATAGTGATAGTTAATACTTACTGGATACTTACTATATGCTGAGTACTGTTCTAAGTACTTTATAAGTAGCATCTTGTTTAACTTTCTTATTCTTATTTAACTATCTTACTTAACCCCATGAAGTAAGTATTATTATTAACCCCTTATACATAAGGCACCTGAGGCATAGAGAGGTTAAATAAATTGCCTGAATTCATATTATCTTTTAAGTGACAAAGCCGGAATTCTCCCCAGGACCCACATTTGATAAATATTTGTTGAAGAATAAAATTGGGAGTTGGAGAACATTCCCCTTAGTAAAGTATCACAAGATTAGAAAAGCAAGTTTCTAATGTACTTGATACTAATATGAAACCAGTAGGTGAACAAGTACATGCCCACACAAGAGAAAAACACAATTAAACTCAAGTGGGGGAAAGGAAGAGGAAAGAAAGGGAGAGGAGGTGGGAGGGGGGGATTAGGGAAGCAACTGTAACTTGGACTTTACCTAACAAACGCAAACAACGTAAGCTAATCATCTATACTGTCATATTAATCTGAAATTTTAAAAAAATGTAAAAAGAGAGAGAGAAAGAAAAGAAAATCGGGCCAGGTGCAGTGGCACAAGCTTATAATCCCAGCACTTTAGGAGGCCAAAACAAGAGGAGGCTATATTGCCCAGAACTGTGTCTTTACAAAAAAGTTAAAAAAAAAAAAGAAAGAAAGAAAGAAAGAAAGAAAATAGGATAATAGTAAAATTGTTATCACTGAGAATCTTCCAGAATGCTTTGTACCTCTATATCCATTTTCTAAAAAGCACATGGAGAGCCTTCACAGATTTGGCTTACTGACCACAAAACATAGGCTCAGTGAGAAACTGCAGTCTGATGTGCAGATACCACCCATACATTCATCTCTGGATCTTGGTGAAGAACTACGCGCTGCTTTATGTGTACTACCCAGCTCCTTTTAGTAACACACCCTTGAGTTTGTATGGCTACACATTTATTAGCAACAAATCACAGATATCTCTGGATTTAAAAAATCTTTCATCATTTTTATTCGCTCAATAAATGTTGAGAGCCTCCTAATAACAGATATGGCCTAGAATTAACTATTCCCAAACTTTGTTTTGTCATGTGTCAGAATCACCTGAAGGGCTTGATAAATCACAAGTTGCTGGGCTCTCTGTCCAAAGTGTCTGATTCAATAGGTCTGGGGAAGGACCTGAGATCCTTCTTTTCTTCATTTTGACCAACAGCCTCTTTTCTTCCTTTAACCAGGCTGCTAATGCCCATGCAAACGACTCTGAATGGAATCCTATTTTCACTTATCTAAATTCTACTCATCTTCACAGCCTAACAAAAATGGTCCCTTCTCTGTGATATTGTTTTACACTAAAAATTAACTGTTCCTCTGACAGACTCTCAAAACACCTTACCCTGTTAAACACTACTTGTTTCAGCCTGCGCTATAGTATAGATTGTTCTATACATATTAATCAGAATCAACTTTCTATTTATTTCTTATCTTCCTCATGAGCCCAGTATTTTATACACAGCAGACATTCAGTAAGTGTGTCAAATTTATAAACATGCATTAATAAAAGCTAAATTTTTTCATACTTTTTTAACTTCATAAATTTTTTAGGACTATATTGAATTTTTAGATAAAATAAATATGAAATTCTTTGAATACATGATTATTTAAAATTCAACAAAATTTTCAAGCAGGGTAGTCCATTGTCTTTCCTTATCCCACCTCCATTAAAATCTACAACAACAACAACAAAAAAAAAATTTAACGGTTACCTTTTCAACATCTGAGAGAGAAGTTAGTGACTGATTTTGAAGAACCTCTGGTGCAGTGAATGCTCGAAGATCCTGATTGGAAATATTTTCATCTGTAAATGACACGCTACCAGATGGTAGCAACAGTAGAGACCATGGAGAAATAATGAAGCCCAGGGCAGCGGGATCAGCTATGCTTACTGGTTGTAATTGCATCATAAAAAGAAAATAAAAAGATAATTGTTTAAAATTATAATCAGGAGAAAAAAAATCACTTCAAGGATATCCCAGCCTATTTATACAGATGTTAGTGTACAGTTACATACACCAAATCAACATGGTACAAAAAGAATGGGTTTAATGTAAATACAACTGCTAGCATTATTAACAACATTTGATTAAGCTTAACCTTCAAATCTCAGTGGAAGATCCTAGAAACTACAAAAAGAGAACTTTCATTGTTGGTCATGGAATTAAACTTGGTTCAAGTGTTTTATCACAGTCATAATATAGATACGGGTAAAGATTAATAGTTCTTAAACTTTTTCTGGATCATGGATTACTTTGAAAATTTGGTAAAAGCTATGGTCTCTTTCAAGGACATTACCCATAATGTAAAACTCTTTGTATATTCTGAAGTTCAGTAGATCTACTTACAACCCACTTATGGACCCCAAGATAAACATCTGTCTATGATTCAGAAGATAGTGTTTTGAAATGATTAGAAATCAGTTCCTTTGAAAATGCATCAAATTTGGAATTAGTAAGTTTCTAACTACAATAAAAATTTCTTTTTTTGAGTGAAAATATATATTTTGCTTGAATTTGGATTGGTCTTGTTTACATTAGTTCATTATTTCACTAGAATGTCAAGTGATTTGTTCTATACTACCAAATGTGATCAATGGGGTCTCTTAATTTTTTGTTTAATGTTTGCCTCAGAGCTTGTGCTTAAGAGTATCATTGAAAATAAATTCCTCAGAATTCAAGAGACCTCCTCCCAAAAGTAAAGCTAGGCTCAACAAAACAGACTAATTAGAAGGAACTTCACTGTGTCCTCCTATAATAAAATAAAATTAATATAAGCATTAAGGTAATTGCTAGGTGAAGTGAGTTACAGACTAAAGAAAATGCTACTGAAAAGTCACAAAAAGCCTGTGACTGCCAATGTTTATATTACTCAATATAAATAGGTTATCAAATGATAACAAATTGACAGACGTTCATAGAACAGTTTATCAAACATACATACATTATCTATGCTTTCCTGAAAATAACTTTCATCAGAACTGAATCATATTTTCTGGCTTTTAAACCTCTATCTGTGGTCAAGATCATCAGAATTTGACTTTTGTTAAAAAAAGGAAACTAGGCCAGGCATAGTAACTCATGCCTATAAGCAGGTCAAGGTGGGAAGATCACTTGGGCTCAGAACTTCAAGACCAGCCAGACCAAGAGCGAGATCCCGTCTCCACAAAAGATAGAGAAGTTAGCCAGGCACCTGTATAGCCTGAGGACTTTAAGGACTAGAAGCAGTCACTGTGATGAAGTTTTCAAAGACCCAGTGAAAGGAATTTCTCACTGATGTCCCTCCATTAGGACTGGGAGGCCAGTCAGGTAGGAGGCAGACTCTGCAGGCAGAATCTGTATATCTGAGGAATTTCCTGGGAGGACTTTGAAAGCAGAAAAACAGAGTCTGTTACTTGGCCTTGATGTCACCAGAAACCTTTACCTCCCAAACTTGGCATCTTGTTTTTTAGTATCATTAATTTTTACTTTATAGTGAGAAAATCTTACGCATGTATTTGTTAGACTTACTGAAACCAGATGGCATTCTTGAGAATTCAGTAGATTATAAATTAACTATTTGTATGTGCTGTGTGGCAGTAAAGATCCCTCATATAAGCTTGAAAGATATCAAGATTTCTTGCTATTTGCCTGAGCGAGCAGTAGCCACCCAACTCTTCAGAGACATTCTGACCACTAGTTTATCTCTGTGTCTCTGGCCTGAACAATATACAGCAACACACCTGTAGTCCTGGCTACTCAGGATGCTGAGGCAGGAGGATCACTTGAACTCAGGAGTTTGAGGTTGCTGTCAGCTAGGCTGATACCTGGAACTCGAGCCTGCCTGGGCAACAGAGTGAGACTCTGTCTCAAAAACAAACAAATACTACCCCCCCAAAAAACCCGCCAAAATAACAAAAAAGTAAACTATTAAAATTCCTTCTTCCTCTAAAGATTAAAAAGCGCCTAAATCTGAGACATATCCTTAATGACTATGCGAAAGAAGAAAAATATGTATGAATGCCACCTTTTAACTAGTCAGCACATCTTATGTTGCAATGAAGCAGTGTTGGAGATCAATGATCCTCATAAACTCAACTAACAATTCATCAGATGGGTGAAACACAGCTCACAATTCTTATTTATGGAATATACTTCCATAAATCATTACAACATATGCCTGGTAATCCTAGGTATAGTATTGCCTTTTGTAGTCACTTTACCCATTTTCTTTTAAAAGCCTTTGGTTAGGTATTTCATGAACAAACAACACACAATCCAGCTAGAAAAGAACTCAAACAAGGCAGAACAATACTTTTCTTGACAAAAGATTTCACACCACATACATTATAAGAGAGTCTAAAATAAATTCCTACAGAATTACCAACTACAGGGAATAAACACTTGGAGACCATTGAAAGCCAATGTACTAATATCTAGTGTGAGATGATGGCCTACAACTACAGTGGTATCAGCCGGGGGTAAGAAGTTCCTGGAAATGGAACATATTTTAGAGACAGTGACCACAGAATTTCCTGACAAATTGGATGTGATGTGTGATAAAATGAGGAGTCTGGATGACACTAAGGTTTTGATCTGAATAACTGGAAGGCTGGAGTGCATCAACCAAGATACAGAAGATGAAGATTGTCAGCCCAGGTTGCTGAGGTTGGTGTTGGGAGGTGGTAATAGAAATTAGAACTTTACTTTGAGGCCTGCTAAATTTAAGATACCCTGTTTGATATTCAAATGGGTATGTCAGGCCATTGATGTGGAGTGTGGGAGAAAGGTTAGAGCTGCAGATGTACCCACTGAATGGGTACAAAGGAGGGGTGTATGGCACACCTTTTGGGTGCAGGATATAACTACAAGAGGGACTCTACCTAACAAATTCAAATTTGGTTGTTTGTACCCTCACATTAACCTGAAAAAAAAAATGTGTATATATATATATATATATATTTTCTAAACTATCAACAGGAGACTTATAGATATATCTGTAAAAAAAAGAACGGTGGATATATTTTGGGAGTCACTGGCGTAATAAATGGCACTTACAGCCATTCCTCTTTCTTATCCTTGGCCACAGACTGACCTTATCTCCTCCCCAATGTGTTAGCACTAACCAGAAACTGCTAAAGATGAAAGCAACCTATAATTGCTCATTACCTACCCTGAAATTATAAAGAGATTTATTCACTTACCAGCACAACCAAGTTCAATACAATTATTATTACCTGGCAAGAACTACCTATTTGTTTTTTTATATAAGTTTTGTTGTTTTTGACACATAATTATGGTATGGTATGTATATATGTGGTACAATATGATGTTTTGATACATATATTGTGTAATAATGGAACTATATATTTAAAATTTTGCTTTATTAATAGGTGTTCATTTTTATTGAATATCTAAAGTACATCATCATTATAAGTACTATGCATATTAACATATTCAACATTACAGGTCATTTGCTAATAGAATCCAAAGTGTTGGAGGAGATAAAATATGTACATAAATAAATATAAGACATAAAGTACAAGGTGTCTAAGAGAGAAACATAATACGAAAGGGAGTTTAGAGGACATATACTTCGACTACAATAATTAATTTCTTTTTTTATATATGGCTCTTTAAAATGAGTAGGACTTAATCATGGCAGGGGTAGGATTCCAAAAGGAAGAAAAAGCCAGAGCAAAGACATGTGGTCAGGAAATTGCTAAGTTTGTACAAGGAATAGCAGGAATTCTGGTCTCAGGAATGGTGGAGAGCAGTGAGAAACAGAATTTCCAAGGTGGGTCAAACTTTTGCTTTTTAAAAAAACCCACACAGAGAAATGACAAAAATATTTTCAAATGTGATTTTTTAAAATAGCTTGTAATAAAGCGAAAGCAACTGTGACAACTAACTACACTGCTATAGCAATTTCCAACACACACACACACACACACACACACACGTCATTTAAGTACTGAATTCCTGAGAAACCATAATCAAACCATAAAATATATTTTAAAATAAAATTGTAAAGCATCATGAAAACCTACAAGTGAGGGAATTTAGAGTTGTGGCTAGAATCAGTCTTTTTTTTAGAATCGGTCTTTAATTCCCCATTCTTGTCTAACAGAAGGAATTTAAACAAATGTATTCAAAATCATTCAAAGAATGCTAACAAAAGAATATTTTAAAATGAAATTCCAGAAGGTTGTAACTTTATGTCCTATGGTTTAGTTATATGCTGATTGTACTCAACAATGCTATTATTATGAAAGAGTAAATCTGACATGAACTGATTCCAATAGTTAAATAATTCTATTTATAGACTGTTTACCAACATTCCACAGAAAAAGTTGCTTAAACAGAATTTTAAGTGGCTAGAGGCAAAGTTAGAAATAATCAGAAATTTGACATACTAAGAAATAGCTTAGAGTGTCTTTCCAAACTTCTCTTAAACTAAGATTCATGAATCACTTTATAGTTACACATTTTTTTCCTAAGGGATCTTACCATTTCCTTTAGATTGTACCCCTCCCCACCGCGCACCTTTTTTTTTTTTCCCCTCCACCTAGAGGGTAACTGGGCAACAAACTCAGTAGGGAACACTAATGGAAAGTATTAGGAAATCGTCTTGGGACTTAGAGCAACAATGACACTGTTTTGACCTTAAAAATCCTTTTGCCTGTTCAAACATAAGAAAAGAAATTATAGTTCTCCTATTTTACATTTTCTATTAAGAAGTTCGGCAAAGGCTCAGTGCTTGTGGCTCAAGCGGCTAAGGCGCCAGCCACATACACCTAAGGTGGCGGGTTCGAATCCAGCCTGGGCCTGCCAAACAACAATAATGGCTGCAACCAAAAAATAACCAGGCATTATGGCAGGCGCCTGTGGTCCCAGCTACTTGGGAGGCGGA